AGATGTTGAGAAAATAAGGGAGGGAAACTTGTTCATTTAATTGTCACAGCTAACCACCTTCCCCAGTAAAAGGAGGTTCTTTGACCACCTTAATAGAGGATGTGCTCTTCTGTATGTGACACCAGAAAGGACATTCTTGTGAAAAAAATTTCTATCAAGACTTTAATAGCAATCCCTTTCCTTTCCTGTCTGCTGCTGAAATGGCTGTTTGGATCCAGCATTACCCAGGGGCTCTCACATACAGCTGTCATAAGAGTGTGCAGGCACCCAAGCAACTTGTGCTAACTCAAGACAACTTGGATCCAGACTCTGGCCGCACCCTACTGGAAGCACATGTGGCCTAGCCAGATAAGAGGTGTTTTTGCCACTGGAGAACCAATGGACAAGACCTGGGTCATCTGTGCCTGCCAAGATTACAGTGGGAAATGGACGGACCATGGTAAGATTTCAGTTTTAATAACATTGTTATTGGTAATGATGACCAAGACATTTTGAAATATCAACATCATTTAATTGTGTGTGTTTGTATACACTTGGCCTTTCTTTTCCTTTTTTAAATTAGTTTGTCCTCTCATCCTCTCTGAAATAATATTCACAGTCCTGAAGGAGTGTGGCTGTGCACATTTACTCACTGACTAAATCAGTCTGTTTTCACATAGGAGCAATATCCTTTTGTCCAGAAACCTACAGTGCCTACCACAAAAAGGTGCAGTGCTATGAACCCATTCTGAGGATCTTATTCACGTATCCTGAGGAATCCTGGCCCTCATGGGTGGTTTGACAATCTGTGGCTTTTTTGTTTACATTACCTGTTACCCGTTGAGCAACAGCTGTTTGCATAACAGCTTCTCTTCTTTCACATCAAGACTCCTGAATCTTCTGCCCAAAATGTTCCTGCGTCTGACCTCACACTGCCTTTGCTCTAGCCACTGAGGCTATTCAAGGCCAGATCTTCCACTTCATCAGATGAACAAACTCCCCTTGCAGTCTGCAGACCCTTCTCAGTAGAACATTCTTCACGGAAAGATTTAGTTTAACTGACGCAGGTATGCATATACTCTCGTACCCAAAAACCACCACAGGACCTTCTTAAGTTTTCCATAGATGCCTGAGGAATTCCACACAGCTCTCCTGCCCTAAGGTAGAGCTCAGTGTGACTGGGAGGTAATTTGGCAGAAGTTCTTAGTTTCTTAGTTTTACTATCATAATACCCCACTTTGTGTCTCGGCTATGGACCAATTGGAAGGAAAGAAAGTCAAGTTTCCTAAATTTTCCCTGGATAAGAAAGGAAATACAGATGTGGTGACTAACAAACTGACCTCACTTGGAAAAAACAGCAGCATCTTCCTCATCCATGCCTTCTTGGCTGGCCACATGGCTGGCATGAGACCAAGGTATTTCTCAGAAGACAGGTGTGTAGCCTTCACATAGGCTGTTGGAAGGCACTGATAAGCCAGGTTTTCTCTACCTGTCCCTGGAGCAGGCAGAGAAGACAGCAGTATCATGGATTCCTCTGTGTGCAGTCCAGAATTACAGCTCCAAGGTTGATATGGTCCAGCATCTTTTTGAACCTCTCTGACACCTTTACAATTATTATGAAAGACTCAATTTCTGTAAACCAATTTTAATTCCAACCCCAAATTAATTGTCCCTTATCATTATGCCTAAGAGCAGAAGACATTGCAGCTGGTACTGGAGAGATTAAAATTGAACTGCTTATCAGCAGGGAAGAGACTGAGTTCATCTAACCTGAGGCACATTAAAGTTGCACATCTAGCACAAGCCATTTGCCTGGGCTCTCCCTCCAGTCAAAGGAGTGACTCCATAGAGTGATTCACTGCATCCTAAGAATAGTACCTGAGGTAGGTGGGGTGAATCACCCTGAGGAATTGCCTGGCTCTCTCTGTGAAGAGAGTTTTGCAGACGGCTTTGATGACAAGCCTTTCTTTTAGGTGCTTAAAATTAGATTAAATGAATCCCACTTCAAAATGTTCAAACTCACTGTCTTTCTGAAACAAGGAAGAGCAGCAAACTGCACCTGCAAACAGGTGCTGTTTTAAGTGGCAGCCTTTTGCTCAACAGAGTAATAATCCTGCATGGATTTCCCAGGGAAGGTGGAGGGTGACTGGAGGCCCAGCATGGTCCTTGCTTAGAGGCTGTGGTGCAAAGCTTTCCTTTTCGCCTTTGCTTTCTGGTATGGCTCCAGTCCTGATAGCTGCTGATTTGCATTCCTCTCATGTTTCCACATCAAGCTCTTTAAGGTCTCCATTCAGCCTCACAATAAACAAGCTACAAAGAATTGTTATACCCACCTTTTAGATAGGTAAAGCTTACGCCTCATGACCCTGAGTGCAGTGATGGCACGTGATGGCATGTGAAAGCCATCTGAATCACTGCCTTGAGTGCTGGACAGGCAGCTGTGATGGACCATCCTGTCTTACAGTCCAGACATGCTATTCCCTGTGGGAAGGCCACCACCAAACATTGACTCTCAGTATGTCTGTTTCAGCTAACACCCCATGGACCACCCTGCTGAAGGACTTCCAGTAGTTACACCATAAAAAAAAAATAGCAAAAGGATTAATCAAACAATGTTTTATACCAAGCACAAGATTTGTGGAAAAATAAAGTAAACCATGTTGAAAACAAACATTTATAGAGAATTTATAGAGGATAAAATGCTCTCAGGTATGAACTCAGTATCTTTCTTCGCAGGCTATGGTCTTCTAATGAGACAAGAATATCAAACACACAGCAGTGAAATCATCATCTGAATTAACTATATTCGTGTCCAGTTTTGTCAATATTTTTTTGTTCAAAGACCCGAGCATGACAGGTTTTAGATCCTTTTGTGTGATACCTGTTAAATTTTACTCATGTAAATATTTGCACATTTAAATCAGTAGCCCTAAACGCCTCCTTTTTTACTATGCAAAGGTAATTTCTTCATAGAGGACAGAACAGTACAAGCAGAGTCCTTGCAATGCCACTCTGGCAGGAAACAAGGCCTGGTACAGCCATGGACAAAAACCTGCTTTTTCAAAGAACTATCAGGATATTTGTGGTTATCTGATTGCTTGATCACAGGTCAAAAGGCTAGTCCCTGCACAGATTACCCAAAGTTTGAATAGAGGCTGATCAATCAATATCTGTTTTTACAGAAAGTGCTGAAGAATTTCTGTTTCTGGTGGTCTATGTATTTCAGGACATAGGTCCTCAAAGAGATTAAAAAAAAGAGACACCAGAACTGTGTCCTCAGCAGTGCTCCCACAGTTCCTGCTTTCTGTTTTTTCAGAGGAGATAGGAAAGGCCTAGTGCCTCTCACAAAGCCCACATCTGTCTGGAATCATGTCTGATCCCACTTCCCTGCAAGCTGCCCTGCAGTGAAAGTAAACTCACTTATTTTTAGCCTTCTTTTCATTCAGGAATACTGGCAAGGCCCCACTGTTTGCCATTTCCCCAGTTTGCACCCTCTAAACGAGGGAATCGGGCCCCTGTGGTAAATATTAGGTGTGTCCTGGTGGTAATCATCTCAAAAGGTCCTCCATGTGAACAAGAGGGGCTCTTCTCCATGGTGGATGGGAGGGCTACCTCCATGGGAAGCCATTATAGGCAGGGAGAGGTGGCCTAGGGCTCCAGCAGTGCTGCTTCTTTGCCCCTGTGCCCCCGTGCCCAGCTGCCCCCATCTGCAGCCCAGGGAGTACCAGTGTTGATCTATGCAGAAGGTGACATTGAGTTTTAAAATTTTCTCTTTCCTCTTAGGATTCACAGCTCAGACAAAAGGAATTGTGTGAAGTTACTCACACATGACTTTGCATGAGTCAAGCAACTTGGGGAGAAAAAAACCCAAAATCCATGATAAGCATTCATAATCTTTTAAAAGTATTACACCCACTTGTAGCTGCACAAAGATAGATTGAAGCAGTCTTTCATATTCCCTATGATTGTACGACCATCAAAGCTTAGCAAGAAAGCAGAGAGGGAAAGTGAGGGGGTGTTTGCCTGCAGACAGCAAAAATAGAATGACATTTTTGCAAACTACTTTTCCAATCTTCCAAGAGTGATTTCCATACAATGATACAGGAAAGAAATTCATAGACTTCTGCAGATTATGATCCATCAGTCTTAATTTTTCTCCAACAGATGATGATGGACAATGCATAATTCACCACCTAGTTCACCTTATTTTTAGATGTCGACTCTATGGCTGCACAGCCTTTGTGCTCCTCAGCATTGGTTCAGGGGGCAGGAATAAGATAAACTAAGCATCTGTACAAAAGAATCAGCTTACTAACAGAAACACTGCAACAGATACATGCATTGGAGATCTAACCTCGCTCTCTAATAAGCAGGGTAAAAATATGATAATAGTCCTTAATCTAAGTTTCTTTTAAGAATCTCTAAGGGCCAGTGACAATGTTGTGATTATTAAAAATTATTCCAAGCCCGTGTTACCTGAGTACTTCAGTCAAAGGTATTTAGAGATTAGTGTGAGCAAATTTTGGAATGGAAACCTTGGACAGAATCTGAATAGGAATCTCTTTCTGCTTCCAGAGTGGTTGGCTGACTTACCCGGAGGACATCTTTTGGGGTAAGATATGAATGGACTTAAAGAAGTCAAATACCATCTACCAGTAGTGAGGGTAAGCAAACAATGCACTGTAGAAGGCAGATCATGAGTATTGTACTGCTTTTGAAATAGTATGAGATGAGCAGAATTGTGATTTTGACACTGTTTTGACAGGAGACTATTTTGGAGCTACCCAACTACCCCATTCAGTTCAAGATATAGGATGGCTGAGAGTCTGCTAAAACTATTTTTTCCCTAGTTCCCTCTAATAATATGAGCATAATATATATAATATATATAATATAATATATATTCCCTCTAATAATATTTGGGTCTAATTTTCAAAGAAGGCCACATACAGACAGGAAGATTTACCCAAGGATGCTGTAAAGAGACATTAGAGTCCTTATGGAAGTCTCAACAACTGAAATGCAGTTTCAAAACAACCTTTATTCTGCTTGAAGACTTATTACAATTTTGAAAGCAACCCAAAAACAAGACACAGCTCCATCAACTCTACAGCTTGAACAAAACTTCAAGGAGGCATGTTTTCACAGTTGCCTTGTAAAGGCAATTTACAACCTGCTTTAACCTGCACCTCCTGAAAGACAATTTTAAAACAAAGTAATCTTAATGTTTTAAAGACATTTAACAGAACAAAGCTTTAATTTTAAAAACAAGAATAAAAAAGAAAATAGCAGCATCTTGGGCAGCTAATGCAATCTCATCAGGACAAGTGCAATGTAACATTACCAACTTCCACAGTTTAGACTCAGCTGCAGTAAATACAACATGATTCTACATAAAATGTTGCACTTTAGAACCTTGTCCCATGGGAGGCATTGTGTTTTGAGCTGCCCATTTCTAAAGTGATCCTGAAAAAAACTAGTATCAGGATTCACTTTCCCAACTTAATACCATGCATAGCAAAAGCACTGTGTGAAAATCGGCAGTTTTCCTCATTAGAAGCATCTGAATGTTTTCCCAAGCATTATTATTTCATTGCCAATTACAAGACAAAGCCATTTCTCACTACAGAACAGTTGACATCAAATAAAAAAGCTGAAGATTTGGTTTTACAGATTGCTTGACAAAATTTCTTAGATAACAGAACCATACAGACAAGCTTGGTTTGGTTTTTTTTCGCTTTTTTTTTTGGTTTTTTTTTTAAGAAACTATCCAACAACACAGAAACTCAGTTTTCTAACTGTATCTGGAAACATGCTGCACCCACAAAGGTCTTGTGTGCATGTGTGCGTCTTTAAACAAAGTTAATGACATCACTTACTGAATTCAGCAAAATGATCATGTTCTGAATGAAAGGTGAAAGTGCACCTATATTGGGATCTGTTCACACATTAACACAGCAAGTGTGCACCTGTATGCACAGATATATATCCCCAACCTGCAAATTCAAATTTCAACTTAAGTAAATTAGAAACTACTTATTTTGCTTGGGAGCTTTGGTTCTCTTTGCTATGTCTCATACCTTTCAAAGGCCTTGTGAAAGAGATGCTGCAGTGCAGCATACCTCAGGAATTTAAATCAAAACAAAAAATTCCACCCTCCCCCAAAAAAGGTAACAAAACAAACCCCTTCCACATATTATATTAAATGAAAAAGCTACACATCAACAGAACTACAGAAAAAAACCACTGTGTTTCTTCAGTTATATCCCCATGCTTTTTTTTCCCGTATATAGTAGTCTGTTTGAGATCAAATCAAAACTGGAGTGAACGATATGGTACATTAAAGACAAACAACTCTGCAGTGAATAGGGCCTTTGGCAGGATTTAGCTTTGTGCATTTAGGAGGGAGAGAAATGCAGAGGCCACACAATACATAAGTACCAAAGAAAACCTACTCATGCCAATTTGAGGGACTTGATGCCTTAAGCCCCTAATAGTTTTTTATTTTTCTAATTTTTATAAACCTTATAAGTTTTATAAGTAGTAGACGTAGATTTTAAAAGCAGCAACCCTCACTCCCTTTCCCTGTAATACAAGTAGTTTACACATTCCTTAACCCTCTTACCCCATTCTATGCTCCCCATATCAAATCTACCCCTGAATTCAGTGGCAATGTTTAGTCTCTTGTCAAGGTAAGGCTTAGGCTGTTTAGAGAACGGCCATATCAGGGTCTGAATAACAAAACGGAGTCAGGAATTAGGTGACTATGTACCCTTTGTGCTCTGAAGATGATGAGACTGATGAAGTAGGTGGTCCTAAAAAGCCCCCAGACTCAATTCTAAGGGGGTGGATCGGAGGCGGTCCAGAGCAAAGGCTACGGGGTGGACACACCTGGGATTGGACAGGTAATATAAAATGTAACATCTCAGGCACAGCTGGGCGGAGTCTTGTAACACCTATTGCCTTGGCACATTAAACCCTTTCCTTATCTCACCCCTAATTAACTGCTCCGGAGTTATTTTTTAGCACCAGCATTCCACAGCATCAGACTTAACTGATCCCTGCAAATTGCATAGACCCTGTGTAGGCAGAACATCTCTTTAAGAAGCCCTAAGCACTCATCCTTACAACACAGTGCTTATTTCTCACTGTTGCTTGTGCAAGAAAAGCAAGTGCCAAATCTCATACACTGGTTTTTTTTCTCCTACAGCCACACACGAAGAGAAGTTGCACAGCAAACAGGAATTATGTTTCCATTCAGTATGGAATTGTATTCCATACTGGACAGGGTATGCTAAGGATATGGCCCACTGACATAACAGGGGTTTTCTTAATACGAGGAAACTTAGATCCAAACGTCTTAACTATGATAAAATTTCTTGACAAAAGCTGCGTGAAACATCAATTTGGACTACATGTATTTTGCCTACAGAGAAAAAAATACAATTTTACTCATAAAATATTTAACATTCAGAAATTAATATATGTCCAAAGAATATCTTGGATTGCTATAAGTGTTAAACTACTGTATATTCAACTAAGCTGTAACTTGAAGCCCAATAGTATAACTGGCATGCTAGAGTAATCGTTGGTGCTTTTCACAGCAAAAACCAGTTATTGGTATACCAAATTTACATGGTCCTACAGGCCTGAAGAGAGTGTGGAATGAGGAAGGTAAGGGATGAAGACTCTACTTCTATTAGGGAAAAATATTCAGAATAATTTTCTAAGTGATGACTATCATGAAACATCACTATTTGTTGAACTGTGTTTCCTGATATAAATTCCAGTAAGAAAATACACCTATAGGAAAGCAAAGACAACCCACCAAAAAAAAAGAGCACAAAATCAAAATAAAATCAAAAGCCTTACAGCATCAGAACTGAAGTAGCAATTTGAAATTGAAATGATAATATAAAGATCATTGGAGACCAGCAAATTTCCTCCAACAGCTTATAAAGCTCTGCATATTTAGAAATAAAACACAAGTATCTCTAAAGCAGAGCTACTATGGGAGAATTCCATGGGTCTTGCTCTTTTGATTGTGTGTGCAACTCTCTTTAATGGTAATGGGTATTGCCTTTTTTAATCTTGGGGGAAGAATAAAGTCATATATTCACTTAGTCAAATCTTTTCCAAGATTTCTCTGAAGTTCATTACTTTATCAATTGCAATGTGTGAATTTCCTCAGTGGTCAGGACAATAAGTAACCATTGCAAACCACAGACAGTAAATTATCCCAGAATTACTAATAAATCTGATTTAGTAGGATTCATGTATGTGTTTTCTTTAACTGAACCATAATTATGTAAGTCTCTGGTGCCCTGAAATTATGGAACTGTTCACTTTGATACTGCCTTGGCCTACAAACTTCTGAAAGTAAGTATCATAGCCTAATCATTTTCAAAAAAAGACATATTCCAGTCTTAATTAGCTCTATATTGTATCCAAACATTCTCAGTAGAGGTGGAAGCTTTTTTTTCCCCATAATACTAATACAAAAAAGCCCCTAGGCAACAGATTAGAGAAACTTCCTTCATATGAAATGAAAATATCTTTACATGCTGACAAAAATTCTGCCACAGGTCAAGAAATCATTTATTTACTGTGAAAGGTGGATTCATTCTGAGATCCAAACTATCTACACTCTACACTGCAGTAGTAAAATATCCCCATTTTTTTCTGCAGTCACTATCAAAGAAGGATACACTATTTGTTTTTTGTCTTTCAAAAGACAATTGTGATAAAAGTTCAAAATGCTTCGAGAAGCAAATGTAGTATGGTACCGTATTCTAAAGATATCTCTGAAACAGTATTGTTGGACTCAGTGATATTTCGTAATGTTCATATATTTTTTATTGAATAAAGCAGCTTTGAAGCTTATGAGGCACTGCCCAACAAATATTTCATCAAAAAAATTTACGAACTTTTTAAACTTCGAGCTAGTAGCTCAATATTCTATTTTTCTAAAGAAAATTGTAAAATATTTCATAGTTTTAATTCTCAAGCCAACTCTTGCTGGCTTCCTGTACATTAAAAAACAAACAAACAAACAAACAAAAAGTCTCAAAAAAAAGCAAGTCCCATGAAACAAACAAGAAAATCAGTAACAAAAAATAATCAGGAAAAATACACTCAGGCAAAAGAAATAACAAAAAAAAGAAGACAAGGAAACAAGAAAGAAAAAGAAGCCTGTAGATATGCTTGAAAGAAGACTACAGCCTAAAGAAAATTCAGTATTGCATAGCATGGTCTAAGAATTCAGCTTTCAGCAAACAGAAAAGGGAAAAAAGAAGCAGTCTGATATTGACAGTTTCCATCAATGATAGTTAGTCATCCAATACTATGTACACTATTATACACTGTATGCCACTGAAAGTCCTGTTTTCTTCAGTCTTAAATATATTCTTAAAACAGGATTTTTAATTATCTAAACAAAACGCTTCCTGGCACTTTGCTATTACAATTACTCTGAACAACATACTGTAACTGAAGTCCTTTTAAAGTATCCCTTAGAAATGAAAGTGCCATTCCTTCTGCTACATATCATTCACTAGAAACCAAAAAAATCCACAATGCTGTGTGTCTGGATCCGCCGAGTGCAGCAACATCATTCCAAATTATGTTGTGACCACGAAATTCCAATAACTGAATGATACAGACCTCTTATACCTTGTGTCTGGATAATCCAATGTTCTAGCTGGTAAAGCTTCAGAAGTGGTCGTAAACAAGCACCATGCTTAAAGGCCTCTATGTCCCTGCAGGGAGATCAGGTTTGGATTTTTCTCGTGTTTTTCTTTTCTTAATTACAAAAAAACCAAAAAGCACTTCAGATTGCAAACATACATTCACGGCTTGCTACTGTGATCTCTCCCACCACAGTTGTGAAGGAAATCTCTAGTCCTATCTGAAACAGCTTTGAGACTGCAAATTCTTGAGTAAAGCTGAAAGGAGCCTTTTCTCTCCAGAGGCCTCAATGTTGTCAAATCTTTTCTCTAGAAAAAACCAAACAATCCGCAGTATTAAGATGTTCATCGCCTCTGCTGTGCATATACTGGGTAGGCTAGTGTGACATTGAGAGAGTCATTGTGCTGCACAAGTGATGTGTGTTGGTAATGTAGCACCAGTTCTTTGAGCGAATTGTACAAGTTATATGGCTCTGCAAATCCATACCCAGTAGGTGTTTTGTTTATCACACAGTGCTTTACTTCTCCATCCACCCTAAAAAGGAAAAAAAAAAAACAGTTTTTAATTTGTGAGTACAGTAAAATTGAGATAGAAAATAAGGTATTGGCGATGAATCTTAAGATGCTAGTCAGTACACAGAATTTCTCTCTTCTGTGGTGAGATAATGGTAAAAACCTGGGTTTAGTCCAAATTTGCAGATGTCATGCTGGCTTAGGGAGGCAGGAGATAGGCAGGACTTAGCAGCTGCATTGAAAGGAGTGCACCCATGCTTTTGTTTCCCTTCTGAGTGAGCCTTATCTGTGGGAGTGGTACAGGTTGGAGCTGTGTAGGAAATGAAGCAGCAAAGAGAATGGCCTTAGGACTTTCTAAACCCAAAGGTCCAATGGGAATCATGCATATGCAAGTGTCTATCTGCCCCCAGTTCGAGGTAGGCCTCTCAAATGTTGGTTACATCATTCACAAATTAGGGTACATACACAACAGAGCAGGCATAGCAGCCTTGCTTGCTGCTTTCTCGAACAAGGAATGTTCCATCTCGCTTTCCACGCAGCAGATTTTCAGCTTGGCTTCTATTGATATTTCCCACATTCCATGTTCTCTCATCATGATGGGGCAAGTCCTCATCATCTTCTACCATAGAGTATTGGCTGCAAAAATTGGAAAAAAATGCATTTTTGAAACACATAGCAGAGTAAAATCCACCAATTGAATAGTGTCTACTTCATATTACTTACAAAAAAGAAAAAAAAAATCAGTGGTTAGCCCAATGCCTCCCTGGTAAAACTAGGAATGTAAACCAAGTAATATTGCACTGTTCAAACTATTGAATCAAACTAAAATATAAGCTCTGTTTCTTATTTCTTTGAAGAACACTCGTGTAAATATGAAGAAGAATGTAAAAAGATGTTCTGCTATTTTTCAGAACCTGCTGTGAGCACTCCAGTACTCTACTACTACCGTTGTCCGCTGTTTTGGTAAATAGCAAGCCCAACAAAATCAATACCCTCTGAGTCAGCTTGATTTCCAAAGATCCGAACACTTGGTCAGCAATGAAAAATCATGCAATGTATCAACTACAGTTGCTGCTTGGAGAAGCTTTGAGCAGTTGTACAGATTAATTATTTATAGGGGAGATGGTTTTGTGGAAAGGGTGCAACAGTAGAGTGCTTTCTCTCTTCTTATAAGCAGATTATGAGAAGAGCATATAATACAGGGCCTTTTCTGCCAAATCAGCTCCCAAGAATATAGCTGTTCCAGAGTTACAGAGAACCCTCTGAGCTAAAGCCCACCATGAAAGAAGATGCACCTGATTCAGCTTTGTGGACATCGCTTCGGTATTGTGCAGCTCCAGAGCTCCCCACTTGCCCAGCAGCCTGCACTGGTGGGCCCTGCCTCTCCTGATCAGCTTGCAGTCAATCTGTGTTTGGATAATGCACTTATTCTCTCTTTAAAAGGCTTTTAATCAGTTTTCCTTGGTTTAAGGAAAAATGACTTCTCACTCATCCATGGTTCTGTCTTTCTGAAGATACTCAGAGTAGTCTACAAAAATCAGCAATCTCACCTAGAATTCAATTTTCACAGAGAAAAAGGGTTCTTCTGCTTCATGTAACACTCTCTTCAAGTCCCTTATACCCTCATACTCTTTCGACCTGCATGATAGTCAAACACATGCAGTAGTGGCTCTACTTCCAATACAGAGAGTGTAATTCCTGTATTTTATCCTGCTCATTATATTGCTGTTTGGGGTTTTTTTCTGCATTACAACTTCAGAAAAAGAGTAATCAAAAGTTTAATTTTTCAGCAGTTACCAGGATCACTGTCAAGGAGAGTCACAGAGTGAGGGAAGAGGAAAAGGTTCTTTAAACAGTTTCACTTACTATTTTGATGCTACACTAAACCCATGGAGTGGCATTATTCTTTTTCTACTGTTTAAGTGATAGGAGTACTACTGGGAACAGGTGCCTACGTATTTTACATCATATCATCTTTGAATTGTGCTAAGATTCAGAAAACAACGTGGCTGTAAAACGTGTATGTCATTTTTATCTCCTGCTTCTACCACAGCAGAGAAGCACAATTTGTAGAATAACTAGTCTCTTACTTCTAGTAAGAGACTCAATAAACCAAGCCAAATTAAAATAGATGTGGACAAGGCTAGAATGTAAAACCACTGAAGAGTCATTGTCAGTCTGCTGCTTTTGTTGTATATTCAACCAAGCAGTATAAAAGGCATGCACAAGAAACTACATAGGCAGAAAATATTTATACAAATATTACTGAGACAACTTTGATTTTCTATTTGTTCATTCTTCACTGTTACTACTTCAGATATTATTCTGTGTCCCACTTTTGTTAAAATCTGGTCTACATTCACAAAACCCAACTGCTTTTTGCTTTTTTCCCAGTCTAGCCCCTGTCAGAAGCTATAGTATACTAAATTGCCTGAAATGACAGAATACTATCATGCTATTTTCCAGAAAAATTAAATAAATCACAAAACCAGAGAAGGCCCACTCCTCAGCATATACAAATTTATTATCTCCAACAGTAATGTGATATACTCATGTGGGTACCACTACAGAAGATAACAATATGGTAACGACAGTTGAAATTCAGAAAAAGGCTGCTCATACCTAAGAGGCCTTCTGAACAATTTATCCATCCATGTCACGTCTCTCTAAGATACTAACACTTCATGAACTTAATTTTGCTGGTAAGAATAAAGACACAAGTTACATTTCAGTGCTTTGCTATAGTAACTTGATTATACACTTCCCTGAAAAAATGTAGAGTAGGGAGCGAGACAGCATCCTTTCCAATACTGGCATTATGTAGGCTGTCATGCCTTAACAGTGTGCATTGTTAGTAGGCTTGAGATTTCCTCTGTGTGGTCCAAGAATTAAATATGCTTTATCTCACTTCTGTGTAAGATGATTTGAAACACCAGAAATATTTAAATCTTTCAATACTTACTCTTCTGCATTTTCATTTCCAAGCCACTCATTTAGCTTCTTTTGCCGAACACCTTTCTGAGTCAGCCACCTGGACAATAATTGTAAATAAAATTAATTTTTAGTCACAAAAGTTGGATACCATTAAAAAAAAAACAACTTAAAACCAAATTTGTTAATTCATGATACTCACATCAAGTACTGATCTCTTGTCTTCCTCAGCTGTATGAGGTCTGGCTTAATGCTGTTCATACGCTTGTCTATCTCTCTATATTCAGCTGCTTGCTTCTTTAAATCTTCTTCTAATCTACGCCTGCTGTCCACAATTTCACTTATCCGAGACTTCAGTTTTTCATAGTTGTGCATAATTCTGGATAGAATAATGCGGTAGGTTAAACTCTGATCTCTTACTCATGACTTTATAATCTGCTATTTATATGTGTAGACACTTAAGGGAACAGATTACTTCTCTAGATGTGGCCATATATTTCACAAGTTCACATCTACCCTATTTGAGGCTTCTTTGCTTACAGTTTTAAACTTGTCATCTTGCTTCAGTTTCAGGCACACCTATACTTCGCAGTTTGTTTTTTCAAAAACCACACAATTTGATATGCAAAACCAAATACTGACCTCTGTATTTCTTTTTCATTTCCTTCCCGTTTAAATTTTTCAATGTACTCCTTACTGTATCTTTCTTGTGTTTGGCACTGCTCTTCGAATATTTTTATTGTTTCATTAAATGCCTCAATAGCTGTTCTTTTCATTTGAATTTCCTGAAAAAAAAAGTAATTGTTATTACAGTTGATATCAGACAAAGGGGAAAATTTATTGGCTTCTATCACAGAAACACTTCAGTATGTTGTAAAACAAGACTTCAATATCCCTTTACCAAAAAGGCATTCTTCAAAGCCTTATGACATAGAGACAACAGGTTTGTGCAAAAGGCTACCATGATGAGGTTTATCAAGGAAGTGGAACTGCTAGAAAAAGAACCAGTTACAACCTTTGCTTTGTATAAATAAATTTTATTTGTGATGCTTAGAGCTGTACGGCAGCACCCTTTGCCCTTTGTACCAACTAATGTCCTTAGAGGTACAGCTGACTTTCTGAAATAAAGGTGTAAGATACTGGCCTGAACAGGTCTCATGAAGTCATCTAACCTATCCTGCCACTACATACCTAGTTGATAGCCAAGTCTTTAGTCATACAAGTTAAAGTTCAAGTTGCCAGAAGTTCTCCACTTTTCTTCAATTATTTCAATTCTTCAATGCTTCCTTGCAAACATGCCTTGAAAACCATAACTCATCTTGATGAGGTCAGTATGCAGAAGTGCTGGTAAATCCAGATAGTTATGGACTTGCTTTGGATGGAGTTGTCAGAGTTGGGCACAGTGTAGTTAAGTTTACAGGTGATGGGTGTTCAAACACAAGCAAGTAATTGTACTATTCTGAGCAACCGTATCAGGGCACTGGCAGTGGTGGCAAAGGGGAGGAGTAGGAAGATGGCAGCATGAATTCACAATAATATTCTTCAAAATTTACAAAGTCTTCCACTCTGCTTCAAATCTAACTCACCTGAGATGTTCTTGTGTAGTCTTCATAGAGTCTGTCATATTCTCTGCTTTTTTCTTGGAACTGGGTATTATATTCATGTAATTTCTTTCCCACTGCTTCAATGCTATCCTCTTTTACAACTTGATCCTGGAATGATGAGCAGAAGGAAAGATATTCCATAATGAAACAATTATATTGCAGAGATTTTCCAGATAAAACTACTTAAAAATACCTAGATAATTACATGGAAATGTGATTCCTTTTTCTTCAGTACAGAGAATACTAAATGCATAATATGCAAATGAGAAATTAATGACAAAAAGAAAATTTGTATTGCAAGTGTTTAGCTTTACACTGAAAATTATATATTTTATCCTTGAGTGGGATATTTATTAAGATGTTTATTTCCTAATAATGTATCCACAGTATTTAAATTTTCAAATTTACATGGAAAGTGTGGAGTTGTTTTTAAACAAAAATATCAGGTTTTACACCCAATTTATTTTTTCACGCATTTACAGAACTGAAGTTCTTAATGATAAATGACTTCTCAGTCTGCAGTAATTTCTCAGTATTTAAGTAACACACAAAGAAAATAGACTAAATTACCTGCTGGTACTTAGATACTGGATACAGTAATTTTACATCCAGTTTAGGATTATACTGGGCTAGAGATTCATTCCGGTAGTGGTTTATTAGCTCGACCACAGAGTTGAAAGTTAATGGGTCAGAAAAACCATATTTTCCATCTCGATGAAAAATTTTGATTAATTTGTTATTTCCTCCTTTCCTGCAAATACAGTATGTTGAAAAGTTAGGCATACTTCAAGTACTATTTCCTAAAGCACGCTGTATGTTAAATGCAGTTATTGCATTTTACTATCAAATATCACAGACCTAGTATTAACTAATCTCACCTTAGAGTAAGTGTGTAGTCCCCATGCATCTTGGTTGAAGCATCTCGTACCAAAAAGGTACCATCAGCAGTGTCTCGAAGCTTCTCATTTACTTCTTCCCTAAAATGAAAGCAAAAGTAACCAATCATTTCAGTTACTTCTCATGCATTTATTCTCTCACTGTGCTCTAATTTTTTCTGGTTTAAAACAGGTGGGCTTTAGAAGCCTTCTAGATCTCCATATTAATAAATACAATTATTCAATAGCTCGTTTAAAGTTGCTGGAGAAAACTGGGATACAAAAATGGCATACTCTGTCATCTCACTGCTGGACAAAATTATTATTCATGCAAAGGTCTTTCTGCTTGTTCATACAAGCCTGTACAATCTGAGCAGCCAGTGTTGGCCTAGTGTACCTATATATAGTACAGTTAAAAATGTTGCTAATATATGGCACTTGTTAGTCTGACTTGTTAACTATTGTGCCTACAATTGAGGTTTTGGATGAAAGACAAGAAGAAAATATTTATTTCTTGGTGTTGCCCTTTCATGCTAGTCTTTCATATAGCTATCTTAAAGTAATAGAACAACCATTTTGCATACTACATTCTAACTGACTGCCAGTAACTTTTTAGTCATGTTTGGAATAAAACCAGCTGTAATATGTTTGTGTTGGAAAATATCCTAAAAATGGCTCTTGTAACTCTAAATTTTTTACACTTGAAGCATAATACATATACACAGAATAGCACAGTAAGAACATCAAGCCAAGCATAAGAAATATATGTCTTGAGCTGATTTACCTTGAGATATCTCCCCAGTACCATTCTGCATCTTGTAATGACATGTTGTTATTCATGCTATTGTTAGTTACGGTATTAGGTTTTGGTGGCTTAGGAGGCAGTGCTGCAAATGAAAGGGGGGAAAAAAGTTGATTATAACACACTGAGAACATGACCATATATTCCTTGAAATCACATGTTACTACATGAACTCTATGATTCTGTGAATGAGGAAAAAAAAGGACTGGTTACCAAACAGAGTTGTCCATCACTAACAGTTTTTAAAAGACATTAGAGGAATCAAGATACTGTACTGAAAACAAAATAATTCAAAATAAAGTTGTACTGTTTCAAAAAACTATGTTACTCTTGTAATAATGTATTTTAAGCAAAATATAACACTAAACTCACCTCCTCCCTCTGTGAAGAAAGCATTTGAGAAGAAAAAATCTGAACTTTGCTTTTACCTTCTTTCACTACCTTCAGGTGAACATAAATAATGAAACATGCCAAATTATTTTTATCCTCCTATGTAATAATCTTAGACAAATTTTGCTGCTTCCTAACCTAGAAGCTGAGTAATAAAAAATGCAAACCCACAGCAATACTGTATATTTCAAAAAGAATTGGGTTTTTGTGATCCTTAGCATTCTGTGCAATGATATGCAAAAAAAAAAAGGAAAAATACCTCAAACCAACAGTTTAAGAAACCCATCTGTGACCTAAATATCTCTTGTGTTAATCTTATTATTCTACAGAATAAATTGTGTTCGAATGGCAGGACTGATTAAAAACCACATTCCCCTTTTCTCAATGTCAAAGCTGCATACGTATACCAGTGGGTGCCAGAGAAGATACTGCAGCACTGACTTAGTAACAAGGGGGACTACATTGGAATCAGCATCAAAAATCAACTCAGCTCTTTCAGTAAGTACATCATTCCTGTCCTGTATAGTATGACCGGACTCAAAAGACAATGTTTTTAAAGTTGCAATGAATATCAGGATAGCATAATATTTTCATATAATATGAAAAAAATGATGTTATAACAGGTATTCAATTAATATTGCTAAATTTTAAAAATGTTTTTCCTTAAACAGTCCAAACCAATGATTTGTAATCAGTATTTCAGGAAACAAGAGTGATACTACAGCATCTCCTTTTAGGCACAGTGTGGAACAGAGACAGCAAAAATAATAATAAAAGAAATACAATTTTTTTAATGATATAATAGCAGGACTAGAACTACCTCTGATATAATTTAAAAAAACTATAAACAGGTCAATTCATTAAAAATTCAATTAAATAAGCAGACAGGTATATGTTAAGATTCTAATTACTACAACCATGCACTAAACAACAATTTCATTCTAATTTATGAAAAAAAAAATATTTGTGTCAATAACAAAGAAAGAAATCCTACATATCCAGTAGCAATTTTCCAGTATCTATTGCAAAGACCAAAATTATTAAGTCTTCTATAATAAGACTGCAGTTTTACCTGGTGGATCCATTTCTATGTAAAACATCAAGTCTGTGCCACAACTTATATCTGTCTTAGGATATTCAACATCCAATTCTTCCATATTCCAAACAGTATTGTACATTTGTATGAGTTTCACTGAGTAAGCTCAGATACAAGAAAAGAGTCAAGCTTTCTTTGTAATGGTGTCTTGGAATTCATTTTAAAACCTATAAGGGGCTGCACTGTAACCTATTACATCATAATCCTCAGCCAATCATGTCAAAATAATGTCACCAAACCACTCCTGCTTCCTTATTTTGCTCTACATTAATCTTAAAACAATTTCAGTTTTGGAAAGAATCTACAGTTAGCAGAACTGCAATATAAACCTGGTATTACACACAAAAGGAGCGAGTGGACTCTCCGTGCCCGTGTTCCCGGCTCATTTTCCTGACTTAGCAGCATGGTACAGTCCAATCCTCGCAGGATGACAAAAGGCTGATATGCTGCAGCACGCAGCTCTTGCACACACACACGCACACACACAGGGCAGCTCCCTTTAGAAGCATGTCAGTCACATCTCAACTGCATTCTCCAGCTTGGATGCCTGAAGTTTACCATTCAAAAAGCTTTAAAAGGATTCTAGACTGTACATATTAAAGATGCAGAAGGGAAAAGAGCATGACTTTGTGCATGTCCATTACACACTCATTTTAGACAAACATCCACACAGACACATATATATCCACATAATGAAATACAGATTATGTTTTTAACCTGTGCAGATTTATATTATTCTAATGGGCACACAGGTCTGATAGGGTAGATAGTATTACATAAAACGTGCTTACTATAGAGATGTCTTCCTCTCTTATCATTATGTAACAAAACACAGTTCAAATCAATCTAGATTGACTGATTTTGAAATCTAAAAAGCAAATATTTTAATCTTCGCAGATTCGCTGAAAACACGGAAGAAAGTCAAAACTGAGCAAGATCTTCAAAAGTGTTTTTGCTGTCTGTCAGGATACAAAAAGATTTAGTCTGCCTTTTCACATGCTTTCTCTACCTTATTCTCACTGAGATATTTATCAAGTTAATTGTTTTTAAAAGTAAGAGTCCCTTGTCAGTGTCTCCTTCATCACTTGAATTTACGTCATCAGTATCCTCCTCCCATTTAGAAATATTCCATCTTAACTCCCCCCATCAGTTGACTGTAACTCTCTCCCACCTCTTGGAAGAAACATGCACAGAACAGACTATTAACTCCAAAGCAGAATGCTATGTAAAGTAACGTGAATATTTTATACTTGCTATAATATATGGGGGGAGAAAATCAGAGACCAAAAATAACCATGACAAAGACTAGCTGTAGCAACTATCTGTGCCTGCATCATAAGAAATTCTGGAGCAACATTTCTGAAATAGAGCACATTTCAATGTGCTCTATCTCAGAAATATCAGAAATATTAATTAAAAAATATTAATACAATTTATATCCTTCCCAAATATTTCACACATGTTAATCCCTGCCTCCCTTCCCCCTCCCACCCCACACGTCTGTGCCTCTCAGCAGGTTAACCCTTTCAGACAAGCCTCAATATATAAGAGCGTATCTGGAGTACCAGAATATACAAAAAGATGTATGCTAGTTTGCTTTGTACATTAAGAAGCTTAAATTCATTCTGAAGCAGACTCTGCTCTCCCAGTTTAGGTAGACATGTTCCAAAGATTCATTTCATTTCCAAAATGAAATAGGATACTCAAAATCATCCCAGACACAAGTCTAAACACTGAACTTGGAGGTTTAGCCCATCTGCTACCCAGACAGTTGAGTTGCCAAGGTAATTATTTAAATTAAGCAACAAAGACTTCCTATGAAGAGAACTTTGCTGCATTTAGGTCTCATGTGGGATCAGTACGATTATATTCCATTGCATAAAGATTTTAAGGAAAAATTATTTCTCTAGGGTTTCACTGGTGGCCAAATTTAGGACTCAACAAACTTGTATAATCAAGTTAGTGCTCAGCTCAGACTAGTCTAGCCTGCAGGCAAGAAAAGACAGGAGGCAGATAGGCTATTCCCCATTCCATATATAACCTGGAGAGGTACCGAAGTACTTTAATCCATGTATCTTAAGACCATTAAAACTCTACCTGGTAATCAGTTACAGTATGATACTTCCACAACATGATGAAGAAAACACACACAGAAGCTGAAAATCACTTACTTTGTAAATTATGCATTGCAAATGATCACCCTTGTAATACTGTCGGAATATACAATCCAATATTGGTTTCCTCTTATAAAAATCTTTCTTAGAAAAAACAACCCCAAACCTCCTTTCACTAGGAAGGTTTTCGGGAGAAATGAAGAAAAAAATTCTGAAAAAGAGATTGCTCTGCTTTCCAAACAATGTTCCATAAAAATCCCTAAAAAACCTGCAACATGCAGTGAGAAAATCCAAGCCTTCTCTCTCTTCTTAACTGCTTAATGCTCTGTGCTGTGCAGAAGGTATCCACTTACTCTGGCTCATCATTAAAAAGTGCACCTGACTTCAGCACTACAGGAAAAAAAAAAAGAAACCACCACCCTCAGTAGCTTGCACGTCTCTCTCAGATAAAGATCTCAGCTTCATGATTAACTTGGGTAGGTTCAAATATTTGCTGAGCCAGGGGTTTCAGGTGGGGGAGGGGACCCAGATTCAAAGCAAAAGTTGTCATCAGCTAACAAGTGGCCAATGTAGGACTAACTTTCTCATTTTAGCTAAGTAAATGAGAAGACCATTGTAAGAGGCCTTAAAATAGTCTCTAGCGCTGGCTGCTGCATGCAGTATTGAAGATGAGAGAAGCACCATGAACAGCCAAATACAGGAAGTGGCTAACTGGAAAAAAAAAAAACCAAAAAGAAAAGCCAACAACAAAAAAAGAGAGGATAAAAATTATCCTTGAAAAGAGCTGCATCTCTCAGAGCAGTCCTGTGCAAGCAAAAGAGCCTGCTTGCAAGTACAGCATCCCCTCCTACACACTTATGCTGGATCACAAATACAGGTGCTGCTTCAAGACCCCTAGTCTGATGCTGTGAGGCTTTTTACCTACTTCCTGTAAACTAAAATTACTACAAAAAACACCTATCTGTATCCATGGTGTTTTCCAGTAGGTAGGATTGTTCATTTCTTGGGAAAGCAACAGTGAAGAGGGAGAGCTTTAAGTCAAATTTATTTTCCTTGCCTTAGTGTTTAGTGGAGACCAAACTTGCTAAAGGAACAGAGCAGCAACTGAAAAGCTTGCTCCCCTTTGCCTTCTTTGCCAGATAAACTTCCATGATGAAATAAATTCAAAGTGAAAAGAGAAGCAGACACATTCAAATAAAGAGAGAAGAGGATTAATATTTTCCTCCCACTTGTTGCAAACAGTGAGAATTTCTAATAGCTGTGTTGTTTCAGATCTTCTTGTTGCTTGTTATGGTGGCCAAATAGCATAGAAATTTTTGCCTTCCTAATACTTCACCTACTGAAATACTCCTAATGCTGCAAAACATGACTTGCACCTAATAATGAAATCTCAAATATCTGCAGTATACTTTTGATGTTTTGCAGTTGATTGATCAGCTTCACCTATAACAATCCCTTGCTTCTGTAGTTTTAGCCTTTGCCTAG